ATATGTTTCAATGGTGTTCTCATTAGAAATTGTGGATTTATATGTATATTTGGTGTTAAATTTAAGGTCTTGTTGCCATTTATACTTTGAAAATGTGCCATGATGTCTACAGTTGAAAAAAAAAACATCTTCTGGGCTATGTCCCAATTTATTACATGCAATCAAGTGTTTTGGACACCAAATGAGACGATTAAAACTGTATTAAGATGTCAAATAAAATAATTTAATCATAGTAGACAAATTATAATCAGAGTATTTAAGCGACAGTGTTATGAGGGTTGTACCCGGTCAATTCAAGATGGCGGCTAAACATGCTAATGTCCAGAACATGCCTCTACGGTACAAGCTCTCAGCATTCTAAAACTAATTGGTTTCCAATGATTGAAAGATGTTCTCTTGTTTTGAAAAAATATGTTTATAGTACATAAGTACTGTGAAGACATTGAATAATTAGTAATCACACCAATTAGGACGTACAATAATAGTTTAAGTTAATAGTTTACAAATCACACAATCAAAGATTGAAACTTACTCAATTTCGGTTGAATAAAAACTCACGAAATGGAAATAAATCCCAATTAATTGAACTTATCGTCTAGAATCAAAAAGGAGACGATAGTCAAATAAGCATCGAGGAAAATTAAGATTGAATAGCCTTGGGGCTTATATTGATCCTAACGCTGTGGTTGAAAGAGTCTGAATCCCTCATTTCACCTTATTTGAATTCAAATAAATGCAAATCAAATGCAGGCGGTAATATGCGACTGCATTGCAAATTTGCTGCGTTGCACTAAACTTGATTTTGATTAAACGCTATTTCAGTTCGCTGTCATTGTGGTGCGTTAATTGGAAAGTTTGTAATGTTTGTGTAGTGTTGAGAAATACTTGTTTGGCTAATAATTTGGGATTTGTTGCTATTGAGGATATATAACTAACTATTTTATTCGTAAATACAGTACCTACAATAATATCAGCGTTACGCGTACTAAGAGGAGACTTTAGGTAAGTTTAACTAGTGCAGTTAGATTTCAAGTTGAAACACTTTTTAATTGCAGTATTATACTTAATAATTTGTTATGTTTTTTGTTAAATTATATCCTAATATGTAGTTTTGTGTGATTTTATGCCAGCAGAATTTCTTACGCTTTTTGTAAGGAATAGACGAAATTGAAACCATGGTATTATAATCATTACTACTATTACAATATTATAAAATACTTTTTCCGAAATTTCCACAATTTTACCGTAATAATTTACGAGACGACAAACATGTACGAAATATTATGTTACGATGGCGAGTAATTTTAACCAGTCATGCCCATCATAAGACCCGATTGGTGTTTACAATACAAGTGCACATACATCTTAAGCTATTGGAAGGATTTTATGTGAGCGAATTAAAAAGAAATATACGGGAGAAATAAAATAAATGGTAAACACTTATATGGGCTCTTTAATTGACGAGAATTAGAGGAAATTATGCATGTTTATTAAGGTTCGGGTTGTTTCACTAATTAATTCCTCCTTATCTGATACGAATTGAATGGAAAATTTTACACAGACAAAAAATATTATTCAAATGAAATTGAACAAATATTGATAACATTTCTGATAAAATTTACAAAAGCTTAATGGTAAAAAACCTTTTTCAAGCATGACGTAAAAACTGCTTACAATCACAATCCATTTAAAAAACTAAGTACCACCAGGTGATTCTCAGTTCTGAATATAAACATAAATGTTGGTTAAATATAACTTTAACACATTAAACATCTGAACCAAAATCAATCAAAGAAAATGCTCGATTATGTCAAAAGATAACGTGTTGAAAGTTTCTACTAAATGAAGGGCTGGTGTAGCAATTCTCGGAGCTCAGTGCTATCCTCTGTCAAGGGATGGCCGGGAGACATACAAGATGTGATTATATGACAATGCTCCGGCCACTTAGTGTACCCCTTGAGGCTACTGTCTGTATGCAAGGTACGAGAAATGTAATTTAGTACATCAATTATATACACAGGACACTAAAATATTTGGTTAGGTAATTATAAGGCAGATTCGAAATTGAGAAGTCAGCAGATTTTTGATGGTTCGAAACTGGACCCAGCTGTGGTCATTGGGCTTTTGACTGACGAAACAGCTGATCTTAGTCAGTAACAAAGCTACAGAGATCATCTCACACCAATACTCATCCTTCTAGGTGGCGTCCCGATCTCAGTTGATGATGATGATAATATTAATAATAATGATAAAAATAACAGGTGTCCAAAACCACCCTTTTAGGAGCACTGCCTATGCACAACATAATGGTGAATGAAACTTAGTGAATCAATCATATAGATAGACACCATTTAAATTATAGGTTAAGTAATATTATTCTATATCCATACAATTCTGTTGGCTGAAACTTAGGGTAGTGTCTATATACAATGTATGATGAACGCAATATAGTGCATCAAACTTAGACACCATTAAAATAATAGGTTAAGTATAAACTTTCCAATAGTCAATGGTATAAGATTATAAGACAAGAGGTACAAGTAAATTCAAAGGTTGTAAGAGGAAAATATGATTTGGAAGTTTGTGACAAGAATGATCGTAAACTAGTTCAATAGTTTTGAAATCAAACGAAACCCCAGTTACGAAGTTAAATTTTAACATCCAATTCGCTACATTAACTTTATTGTGTGAATATAACATTCAAATTTGACTTGAGCTTATTATAAGTACAAGTTTACCAAACGTATTGAACATAAATTACTGAAAACACAACTCCTTTCTAAAGAGCCAAAAACGAAACATTAGCTACTTTACTTCAAAGCGCTTTGCGTTAACCTCACACCATGTTCTTCTTACCCTCTCACGATCTCAATTTTGAGCTTTTGTAAGCAAATTTTATAATCTAAAAAATTAGCAATTTGTTTGCTAAATTGCAATGGGTTTGTGTATTTAGTTATTTTTAATGTTTAAGTTGGTAAATGTCTACACCTAAATACACTTTTAACATAAATTTACCACACAGCAAAATTGTATTAATTTCTGTTTCTAAACAACTTTAAACTTCAATTACAAGAAACATTAAAAATCCTTGGTTTAATTTATTTCCGTCGTGGTGTTTTGGAAAATCATAAATGAATGCACACTGGAACCAAACACTTGTTTAAGAAGAATCCTTAAACATTTTACCCTCCAACTGATAGTAAGTAAAACAGCTTTAGGTTTTTTGCCAATCTACTAGTAAGAGACTGATTTCGAGGTGAGGGAATCGGGTTAGATTCCAGACTTATATATTAAACAGTTGAATTGAGAAGTGTGCACCTCTTTTCCTTAAAAAATCCTATCATGCTAAAGATTTTAATCATAAATGTTATTTCGTGAAGTTATGTGGATGTTATTTACTACCTTAACTAGGGACGAGCTTAAAACAATCAAGAACGATGTTAAATATTTCTCTCTGATATTATTTTTATATAATACAATATTTTCTTCAATCATTTACCCCTATATTTTAAATGTCGACCAAACAGTTGTATCTATACAAATAGAGCTTCTTATGTACATAAAATGTTTGTACCTAAAAATTTGTCGAATTAACTCAAAATCTATCGACTTTGTTTAGTCTAGTACAGTATCTGTTTGTTTCAAGGTAAACATTAGATAATATAAGTAGAATACTACGAATACAGCACGCGCCTTCGTTACTACGTACTTTTGAACTGAATCATTTATGACAAGATTCTGTCTTGTAGTATTCTCTTTTTAATGTCGTTGTACAATCCATACAACATTACAATAATAGAGAAATCCATACTTATCTACTTTACTCAGCTAATACACCGATATGTTGTAACGTTTTTGAATAATTTTAACATTTAACACAGAAAGTTGTTACGGACATATTACGTTGTGAACCCTGTGTATTATTAGACAGTATCAAGCTTTGTGGGGTAGATTCACCCTTCTGCCCTTGTCAGCAGCTAGGAAGGGCTGATGTTATCTTTGTATCTTCTGTGTAGCCAGACTGAATAAATGTTTTTCATTGCACGCAATCGAAACTTGCGAAACATTGTAATAATGAATGTTTAATGTATACTCGTCTTTGTTTTCATCTCTATCTTTGAATCAGATATGATCAAACGAGGTCGAATATGGATCGAGAAATATTAAGAAAAACATTAAGCTTAAAAAATCCTCAGTACTTTCAATTTAATTAACAGTTAGTTGTGGTAGATTGATGGGTTTCTTAATAGGTTTTGAATAGTTTTTTACTCTCAGTTATCAGATTATGTTTATGCATGTTTCATCATGCCTGAATAGAAGTTGTTTGGTTAGTCTTATAACAAAGTTTTATGTAATTTTTCATAAATATATAACTTTATAATAAAATTCCTCATGTGTATTGATTTTAACTCCTTATTCATCACTTTTTCCTTTAACTTGAAGGCATTTCTTGTAACAGCACGGATTTTACTATATCTTTATGACAAATTTGCCTTAAGCCTAGTAAGGCAACCAACGACATAAAAATTCAATAATTTTGTCCTCAGATTCTGCAAAGTTCTGAACCTAAATATGTATAATCCATCACAATGTTTTCCATCATACCTGCCTGTAGTCATAAATTTTACTGGTGGATTTTTGCACTACAGATAATTTTTTTTATTATATCGTATCGCCACCAAACTGATCTTCTATACATATTTCCATAGATCGTGTTTTACAGTGGCTATTTAACCACACTATTTCAAAATTTATACGAAAGGATTTTCAAATTGAAGTGAAATGTGATTTTTTGCATCTAAGACTATGCGCATGTGCAGATGACTTCAACGGTTAGCAACTGTCGGCTTCCCATTCTTTGCGTCGCCTCTACAACCTAATATAACTTAACCCAACCTAACCTAACTTAACCTACTGTACTACTGCCACTATTTATCCTCTTTGATAAATACTGTTTTGTAAATGATTTCCAATTAATATCTTGATATTGTTTGTCGCAGGTGCGGGTAACCAGGCCATGGCGCTGAGCCTTGCTGCGCTGCGCCGACGACACATCCTCTTCGTTCTCATCCTAGTCTTCATTCCGTGCAGCATCTTCGTGCTGTTTTCTCAGCCAGGTAAGTTAGTAATTATAAATTATTGACAATAATTCTATATATAAGAGGGTTGGACCAAAGTGGACAGGTAAATTTCACCATAATGACAAATGTACACGTGACAATAAAAAGTAAAATAATTAAAGATGTAATCGTGTAAGGTAAGTTGTCAATATGCGTTTGTGGCTACAAGAAATAAAAAGAACGGCAACAAATGTGAAATGATATGTCTCAGAGTATGATGATGATGACATCCATCATACTCAGTGTTCACCAAACAGGCATAGATATGTGTGCAGTCATAGTTATATTTCTGCACCACCCTGTATCGAAGTTTATCGCAGAATTTTGTATGGTACTATCATAAAAAATAGCGAGTCATGAAGTGTATACAAACACTTGTTTTAAAGGATGAAAGTGGTTTACACTTTTAAATCATAATTTATTTTTATTATCTTCCCTCCACGCTTGGCACATTTGACCGGGATGTTCTAGTATTTTGCTTAAAATCTGAGTGCGTCATCATTCAGGAATGCGTCCTATATGTCGGGCATAGTATATTTCATAACACGACTAGAAAATTTGAGACCATATTTGAAGTGCGTAATTTATCTAGACCCACATTCACTCATGTTTTTGAACGTCACTTTTCGCTACACTACAAAGACTAATTATTTTCTTAATTAAAACATACATTGGTTATTTCTCTATTACAGTTAGGAACATTACAAAACTCATAGCATTTTAAGGTTATGCCTTCAATTTTAAGTTAATATTTACTTTGGTTGTACCAGTTGTTGAAAATTGAAACAGTAGACAAAAAAATAACAAATAATTGTTTTAGTCGGCAAAATCCCAGAAAGATAGTAAACATTACTTTTGTAATGTAAACATTCTTTTTCAGTAGTAAACAATGTAAAGATGAATTTTCGCAGGTGATAAACATGTAACGAAAACAGGTTATTTCACAGTAGTTTAGCGAGAATTTAATTTTGGTAATTGTAGGTACCTACAGTACAAAGTTTCACATGAGAAATATCAATAATTAACTCCAGATGTTTTTCATTGGTCACGGTTTGTTATGCAGATAGATTCTCTTTGAAGGATTTTTTTAGACCATCGATGTGCATTTGTCATTTTGAAATTTGTCTTTTATTTGATTTTTTTTTACAAATGGTTTGTAAATGCATGAAATTGTATAAGTAGAAGGGTGAATGATTTTTTACAATGTTCTCCTCTGTAAAGCCCAGATATCCCCAAAGTCTGAAGATGAAGGATCGACTAGTTTGACGAGAGATGAATAGCTTGACAGATTGTCCTATTAATTACATTACAAAGTCCAATGATCAATCACTGGTATACAAGATGTCAAGATCCCTAACTACGGTAATCCGTCATCGAATTTAATCTATTTTCTATTAAATTTTTTCCTAAATTTAAAACTTGACTGAATTTGTTTTCAAAGTTAAAATTAATCTTCGAGTTAACGGCATTTTCCTCCTTTAATTTCAAACTGTTCTTTTAAAGGGCTCCATTTTTAACTTGAAAATATTTTTCTAAACAAAAGATTGTAGTGGAGAAAACACTGTCAACATTGGTTTGAAAATGTTTGTTGTAGAAATTGTTTACAAAAATAAAAAAAGAGTATATATTTTCGATACTTAAAATAACTTCAAAATACCTCAAACATGTAAAACTGTTAGAGTATAAATCATTTTAAAACGTACAGTAACACTTTGTCTAAAGGCACGGTATTAGGCAATGTGCTGCCTTTAGAGGAGGGCATAATCAAAGAAAATTATTTATTGTCAACTAGACGACATATAACACCTTTATTCTTAATAATATGATAAATAGGTTTACATAGCTTATAAATTCGACATATAGCTCAATTTTGTAGAAGGTTGTTTAGTTTTAAAATTGAGCTGTATGTCGTATTTTTTAGGTATGTAAACCTATGTATCAAATTGAATATAACAGCTCAGGAGCTAGAATGGAAATGAATTTTAATTTATTCTTAAGCCTTAATCATAAAAATCACATGTTAACAAAAATTTTCATAGAATAATGTTACACGATTGTCATAGAATCTTCAATTTTTGGTTTGTAAGTCTGAAAACAGCGTTCACATAAAGTGATTCATTTCAACTGCACTGTATATTAGAAACTATCTAAAAGCTTGATCATAACGCTCAAACAAGTTTATAAGATGTTTTTGTTAGCTTTGTTGAATACTTCCTTGATTGGATGTAACTTAAGTGACTGAATAGTCAAATCTGAGAAAATTGATGATTTAATCGGAGTCAACCCTAAAATGACCCCACTAGGCGTAGGGGTGAACAATAAAAAACGTTTTCTCAGAAGCTGACTTTCCGTCTTTTGGAGAAATCTTTTCACGTAAAGTCAAACAAATAGAAAAAAAAATATATATATAAACCCAAGCTTACGAGAAAATAGAAATAACAGTGGCGCCAAAACTGCAGAACTACTTCAATTTTCATTGTCTTCTGAAAATACCCATAAAAGTGTCATCACCCATTCACATATCATCAAATATGATTCGAAACAGACAAAACTCATCTGAAAATCCCCTGAAGCACCTCTTACTTCTGTAGCACTCACAAACATTTTACGATCCACAGCTCTAGACAAAAGATGTTGAATAGGTAACCAGTGTTAAATATTTGTCGAGGAGGTGATGTAAAACGGACACGCCAGTTTGTGCTTGTGAGCTAACAATACAGAAGCAACAAAGCCAGAAGCGAGGGGTGCTCAATTATGCACAAGCCCTCTGTTTGCATGTTCCCCCGGCAAACAAAAATCTATAGCTTCCCTCTTGCATTTTAAAACGCCAGTAATCATTCAACAGTTCAATATCTAGTCTCTTAAGAGTTTTCATGCAGGAAAGTATTAATACCTTCCTAACTACTAACCATACTCCGTTCACAATATTCACGGTTCATATTAGACGGTTTGGGGGAAGTTCTCCCACCACTTTTTTGTATTTAATTTATGTTGCTTAATCATCTGTTCAGCTATTTCTATACATGTAGCCTATACTATGTATATTAATAGGCAAACATAATCCTTAAAAACATTTTTTCTCAGCTCGTCTGCATCGCAGGGAAATTCTACGCATACTCTTTGGAAAGATATTTTCCTGCAGATGTGCAGAGTACCTTAATAAATTAAAATAGGCGCATAAATAAGCCCAAAAAGTGAATTTGAAATTTAAAACAAATTAACATGGTCCTTTTGTATTGCCATGCTGGTGACAAAATAACAAGGCAATATCAACAGAAAATCAAAACAAATAGAAGCAATCACATTTACAGCATAAGGTGAAAATAGAGAAGTCTGTACATTAGTACATTACATATATTTGGTCGAGTTTTCGACCACTGGACGACCTCTAGTTATTATTATTTTAAAGGAGGTTCAAGTTAAGGGGATAGATTTCTTCCCTGAAAACCGCTTAAGTATTGTGAATGAAGTGTAGTAATAGAAAGTAACACAGTCGTGATTTCTTTACGTTCCTATTTTTATATACTAGGGGAAAACTATGGGGCTTGTGTAGAACTCATAAAAACAAATTAATTATTTAAAAATTACAATTTCTGGAAAAGTCATTTTAGACTACTGTAACAATTAATAAGGTATAGGTAAAAGGGTACAACGTAACAATTTTTTTTTATCTTTATACATTGTATCCTATATTTGTATCTTTTATCACAATTTTATATATATCCCAATCTTATCTTTTCCCACTAAGTCAATCTATTTCCTGTCTCATAATGCTTTACCTTATCATTATATTGCTATCTAATCTTTTTATATTTTCTACAAATGAATTTTTCATTAATTTTTCATTTATTTATCATTTTATATTCATCAAAACTTAATAAAATAGTTATACAAATCGACTCAAATACAATGTTCTTATGGTATTGTGACAATTACAAAATATTAATGTAAAATACAATTATTTTGAAAAAAAAATCCCTCACTCATAGTAAAACATTACATTTGCATATAACGTTGGGGGAATATAAAACAGGTAAAGAAAGAGAATATCGCGAGACCTTGAATGCTTTTCTTTCACAATATTTTATGATCCACCTTCATTAACGTCAGCTGAAATTTCTTTAACCTTCATCTAAATTGTGTGCTGTCTTCAAAGAGTCAACTTGTCATATTTAATGGGCGGCGTTAATCTTTATTGCATTTTAGAAATAGTAGAATTCCACTGGAAATGTTTCTTAGACACTATGTTTGTTTATAGCAATACTAAGTACTTAGCACAATCCAAGTGTTTAAGTTCGGTGAGATCGATAAGGTTCATAAAGAAATAAAATTAACTCCTAGAACAAGCTTAGTGTAAATAACGTTCTTGCTAAATAAAAATTTGTTTCCAGTTGACATAATCTGGTTGGTAACAATAGTTAGTGTAATGAAACAATGTCATCTACGATTTTTTATGTATAAATGACTATTCCAGTGTTATTTTGTTTTGCGACGCTAGGCGTCTGGGATTGTTTTTCACATTACTTTATGCTAGACCTATCGTTGCGGCATCACTTAGATAAAATCCATCGGTGATTTGGTGGGTTTGAACCCAAGACCTCAGGGACCAAAGTCTTGCACTCTACCACTAGACCAGCTAGCTCATAGACTCATTTAGGATTTCAAACCTTAAAGGGCAATCTTTCAAAATCTTTTTTAACACAAATATCACAATAACAAAATCTTTTACTTTACTTAAATAGTTACATTTTGTCAACTTAGAGGATGGGTTCCGGTACAAACTAAATAAAAAGTGTTTAAATGTATAAGCATTGACTTTGATACTGAAGCAGACATGCCAATTATATAGATCAGTTATAGATACTTTATAACCAAAGAGCAATTAATTTGTGTAATTAATTTATTATAGAGTATGCTGCTCTTAAGTCTGTTTTCTCTTTTAGTTTATTCATCCTGTGATAGTTTTAATAAGTCGACCTTTTCAATTGGCACTATTA